GATAAGGAAAAACTCCCCAAAAAACCCTTTAACGGGAAAAAAAAATGGTAGAAACCTCAGGAAGAGCAACTGAGGAGGGATCCCTCTTCCAGGACGGACAGACGTGCAATAGATGTCGTACAGAACAGATCAGCATAATAAATTAACAGTAATCCATATGACACAATGAGACAGAGAGAGAGAGAGAGAGAGAGAGAGAGAGAGAGATGCAGGTAATGACAGTAGCTTACAACAACATTATTGAAAGTAATAATATTATAGTTATAGTTCTGGCTACTGTGGTACAATATGTTGAAAGTATGTATTAATATCTGGCAGTATACATGTGTGACAATAGTCATATGTGTATAATAACAGTAGAAGTATGACTAATGACTAATGATGGCAGCAGCAGCAGGAGGCATCTGGCAGGACCACGGCAGCAGCACAACCACACACGTCACGCTGTCCAGGCACCGCTGCGATATGAGTTAATCTGAGAGACAGTGGAGCACAAAGGCTCCGGAGAAGAAGCCGAGTTAGGAGAGTTTTATGAGTAGACTGTAACTATAAAAATAAAGGATGTTTTGTTACCTCTTGCAGCAGCTGTAGTTTTGCCTTTGTCAAGAAAGGCTTAATGCAATAAATGAGATGTGGAAACACCTTTGCCGAATAAGTTCTTACGTAGCGAACATTTCACTCACTTGACAGATCAGATGTTTCCATTGTAGCCATCTTTCCACATATTCCAATGCATTCTTATCCCAGGACATCAAATACCAAGGCTTTCTCATGCCATTGGGGTGTAATACCAACACTGAAGACCCCCTACGGCACGTCCATGAGACACACGCGTTTAACATCTGTACATGACCTACAGCAGTCTACTGGGTAAAACTCGGAACACGTGTTTAAAGTTGTCCATCGGTTGCGATCAGGTTGAGGCAACAAAACAAACATCATGTTTTGGGTTAAAATACATAGCATGAAGTGAATATGTCAGTATGTGACGGACAGACATATGTAAGTTAAGTAACCTTATGTTAAAACAGCACTGAATTTTGGATCCACACTGGACACAAACAGCAGTGTCCTGGGTGAAAGTCTGTGTTTGTTTGACCCATCCACTTCCCCTTCTGCCCACCGTACATGGACTTGCTTGCTATTTATATCTGTCAGTTTCTCTGAGCATCAAATATTGCCACGGACTACATTGGAGTTAGCTGAAAGCCTGGTGCATCAGAATCACACACCTATAGGGGCGTGACGAAAAGTTGCTATTTAATGACCTGGGAATGAGAGCAGGCTGTATAATTGTATGGTTTTTGTGGAATGCATTAGAATCATTGCATTAATATTTCTTTGTCTCATCTTCAACAGCATAAAACATGGCCAGTAGTAGCTGACATGAAAGAACAATTAAAAGTTGCTCAATTGAAACTCCTGAAGACCTCTCTCTTCTTTTCTTTCATACTGTACATGATAGCCAAGGAGACTTGTTTTGTTTCCGTTTGTTAACCTCTACGTCTTCTCCTGTGATTACTGGAGGATTACAGCATATAACATACAGTGTAAAGCATACCCTTTACTGTTAACTTCTGATGAAACTACACTTTGTGGAGCCTTGTATATATGCTTCAAAACAGTTGAAGAAAATGCGCCTAGTATTGCTCTTTGGTGTGTTATGAGTATGTTTTTATGTCACATTTCACATTGTGTCAAGGGAACAAGAAATGCCCAAACACATTTAAGACCAATTTCAGTGCAAATCTAGAGATGACATACTTGAGTGCTGTTGGACAAGTGCTGAAAATGTTTGAAGAAGAACACGTAACGGATCATTTTTCTGTGACATACACTTTGTTTTGGAGAACATCAGCTCATATAGACACTTCTGATGAAGATATATTTCTGGAAGTAAGTGCAGCAATTTTCTGAATGACGTCTTAATTCAGCCAACCAATATGTAAACCATCCCCAGTAAATATTGCTCTGGCAATGTAACTGACATTGGACATACCTCAACTATACTTAATGTAAGACTATAAGCAGACATAAATGTCTTTTCCTCTTCCTCCTTTCCTCTTTAATCAGTGTGAATTCCAAGGTTATAAACATTCATTGCACTGTGATGTATTATATGTAAATTACACAAATACGTCTCTGTATAATCTGAAATTACCTGCAAACTCAAGACTGGTTGATTTCGACCCAAATAATCAAATGTAATACACATGCCTATGTGTTTACATCTAAAAGTTATGACAAAGATATTCATGAAAAATATCCCTGAGGTCATCGGAGTCACAGCTTCCTGCCAACAAGTCTGATTCATGCTGCTCACACACTCCTCTTTGACAGAGATGAGTAGCAGGAAAAAATATTCGAGGGACAGTGGAAATTTACCAGGCAGAAAAGGTTGCAGGTTAAACTGTCACAGACGACGGGTTTTAGTTTAGAGAACAGTGACGGACTCTGCTGCCGACGATCAGATATCAGGAGGAGGTGTGAGTGTAAACAGGAGAGTGTCAGCACCACTGTGTGGCCAAATTTAGGAATTACATGTGGGCATATTTTACAGGAAAGCCAGCGTATGTTCAGTAAAATTAATAACAGCTTATATGCATTTTCAAGATGTGATATTAGCTTTACCACTTATTCTATGTTATTTGCTAAATGTAGTTTTAAAAAAAGGTATTTTAATAAAAAAGGTCATACTTTTGTTTCTATCATTTGTGTTTTGTTATTGATTATCTAACACCATAACAATATAATATATTTTTGTCAAGTTTTTTTCTTGCCTGTCTGTTATAAGATACAACATTGCACTGCTGACCACTTGTACTCAGTGCACAAGTCAACAATGTGAGTTTCTTATTTTCTCTCTTACAGTATCTGGGGCTCCTGTCTTAAAGACTTTTTGGGGGGGAATTTTGTATTAATTTGACAGCTGACAGTGTAGCGAGACAGAAAACATGGTGAGAGAGAGATGGGTATAACGCAACAAAGCTCTCCACCTAGAATCAAACTGTGGAGACTGCAGTCATGTGGTATGGGCCTTATCCATTAGACTATGAGTGCACTCTGTGGTTGTATTCTTAAAGCCCAAAATCACTCATTTGTCTCAGAGGGCTTGACAGTTTGTACAACATGTGACTAAAAACCTTTAATGAGGCAGGCAGAGCAACAGATTGAAGAGAGACAGGCATGCAGAAGATGTCGTATCCACAGAAAAGACAGACATATCTATAGTTCAATCAGGAGAGACTCATTTTTGTAGTGAAAAGAATATTTATTAGCATGTGCACATAAGAATGAAAAATGTGAAAGGTCTCTTGCAATTAGACCCCTTTGAGTTGGTATGATTTAAGGAGGGTGATGGATCCATAGTTGAATAGGGAACCCCCCCCAGGGCCTAGACGCTGGTGGTGGTGGTAGAGGTGGTGAAGACGAGATGAGAAAAGGATGTGGAGAAGATGGAGAAGTGCTGATGATCTGGATGAGCAGAGGAATAAGTCTTTGTTGAGCTTGTCCTGGACTCTGAATACAGTGGGTGGATGTGAACGGGGTGGAGGAGGGCGTGATAATACTGCCTAAAATGTCAGCTGACAGCAGCAGAAGAGAGAGCAGATTTCAAATTTTGTAGTAACATTGTTGGCTACTTTTGAAGTAACAACCTGATTGGCTGATAGAGATCGTGGTAGTGTTTGATTGGATTACTAGACGAATGAACACCATAGTCAGCTGATTAGAGGAAGCAGCAGGGGTGGGAGAGAGAGAATTGTGAATGGATGAACACAAAGAAAGTCTTCCTGATTGAACTTCATTATAATCACAATTTGGAGAAACAGAATGACAATATAAGGTGAAATAAGTGCAAACATGTACAAAGAATGTGAATCAGAGAAAACATTGAGAAAATTCTATGTGCCCCTAAGGAGCGGTAGGACCTGGACCTCAAAACCTCCACTGTACCATAAAGACCTGGACAGAGGACGGACCACACAAGGACAGCAAGAAGGAAAAGTGACAGAAAAGAGAGAAAGAAAGAGAAGGAGAGGAAGGCACACAGTTTGGTTACTCATCCTCAAATAGACAGAGGGATACAATCTTGTTCAGGAAGTTAACATTCTTATCAGCATGGACTTTGATTACTCATGTCTTAAACCCAATACAAACACTGACCCTGTTTATACTTGATTTTAAAATGCATCGAGTTATCTGATCACAAGTGGACAGCTACATACAAGTGTAAGTGACCACTAAGATACAGTGTGATCCGATCACACTTGCTGAGGTGGTCAGGGACACAACTGACCACATGTTTGTAGTGTAAACAATGCATGCTGATGCATTCCTGTCAAGTGCCCCGTCATCATTCTAGGACACTGTGGTTGTCATGGTGATGGCGTGCCAGTGCTCTGTAACTTGGCCATTATGACACTGGTGCACCGGCGACAACAATACCCCCAGCTGTACTGACCCAACCACTAACTTGACTAGTGAGCATGCTAGCGAGAGTGTGGATGCAGTAACAAAATCAAAACACAAGGGGTCAGCTGGAGATGCTTGATTGACACAAGTGGTAATGGTGATGTGCCTCGGCTGTCCACCTGTGCTGGCAACGCATGTTAATATCCACTGTAAATAGGTTCCTTGAGAGTGAGATCAACAGGTATGGAGCACCAGAGAAGCCATGAGAATACCTGAGTACGAGAAGATGAGTTTGACTCAGGAGACTGAAGTCAGCAGGGAGATTGCTCCATAGAAGACAAACAACAAAAGAAGGCTCTGCAGCCTGCTGTTAAACCTATTTAGATTGTTTTACTTTTGTTATTATTAATATCCTCCTCACTTCACTGAATGTGCTCAACATGTACACTTTATTTTTTTATATGTTCTGATTAATTTTGATGTTTGTGTACTTCATTCAAAACACATAGATTTAAGATAGCAGTTTAGCTTCAAATCAAAACCAATAACAAACCAAGATCATAGTAAATATACATCATTTAATTATGTCATACATAAAGCATAATTATGTTAAAATACAGGAGGATATATAAACACTGCCACGGTTATAATGTACAATTAAAAAGATTTTGTTCATGACACTAAAAACATCAAAGAAAATCATCAGAACATGAGATAATTCACCAGGTTCGAACACTTAAATATGTGTCAAGCATCCGATAAGGAGTGCAGTTTCTAACAGGTGGTCAGAAAGGATGTGGCCTCAGATCTGAGATCAGCTCCACAGCTTTAAAAAAAAAAAAAAAATTCATAAAAAATAGGGATTTAGTCCAGCGTCACATTGTTCAGTCATTAAGACATTATATTGTAATTCCCACATAAGTAAGACGAAAAAAAAAAAGCATTTAACTACTGTAATGTACCACATTATGAAAGCATGAGTGCACTGCAAATTAGTAGGTGGAGCGATTCAATTTAGCTACCAGAGGCAGACCATATGATTTTAGGGCTCCAGGAAAACAAAACAAAAAAAAAAAAAGTATTGGCCCGGCCGGTATAACGGAGAAATATCTAAAATCATTTGTGCGCACAAATTAACAGAACATAACATTAAACAAACTTTAACACACATTTAAGGGATGACCACAAAATAAATCTCCATCCAAAATCAAAACTGCATTAAAGATTTACTCGTAGCTCTCATCAGCGACATTTTCAGATGCAACAGGCAGCTGTTTTCAGCCAAAAAAAGCTACCTGCTCACAGCTGATTTGGCTGTCATCAGGCCATTAAATGGCTGTTATCTGTGGTTATAAGTATCATAGATATGGGTTCGTCATGGCCTGCTACACCTACTCTAAGGTTCAGAAGGCCTTTAACTTTGTTTGGCTGCGACCTCGTGTAACCGTAATAACTATGACAGGAGCAAAGGAGGGTGTCAGGTGATGTAGTACAAAGCAGGGCCACAGGAAGTGCACCAGGCTTTGAAGCCATTTTTGCATTGGGCATACACTGGAGTTACACGTGTCACGTGATGCCCTGTGGACTTAGACTTATTCTCAAAGACTTATTCCTGTAGACTTACATTGTGAAAAAGACATCTGTTAATTAGTAAATACATTTGTTTGAGTAACACAATCAATGCAAAATGATTAATTTCAGTACCAGAATTTGACCCATTTGGTCTGATAGCATTTGAAAGTCTGGAAGAGTTGCACGCTTAAATGTTTTCATCCCCATTAAGCTAGCAGAGTGCTAAATTGAAAGTAGCCAGCTCAGCTGGTGGAACACTCTAGTGTGCCTGCTCTATGTGCCACACAGTACAGAAGCATTGCCGAACATCTAGGTAATGTTATTTGTGGCAGTTGAACTTTTTTGGCTTCAAGCACCTTTCATAGGAAAGTCCTGCCTCAAACGCTGTATCCAGTTCTCTTTATCCATCCATGTTATAAAGAGCAAGAAAGTCTGCATTGGGTGTCAAACAAATACAGGACTTTCAACCAAGAGAGCAGGGTTTGTATCCCATGTAAAACAAAAAGTAAACACTGACTTTTTTTTTTCAAATCAGATTTTTTTTTTTTTAAACTGACGTACCATTCCTACATTTCCTACGCTTAAACAAGTATGTTTTGCCCCTAAACCAGGATTCGGCAACCTTTACAATCAAAAGAGCTATTTTTGGCAAAAAATAAAATAAAATAAAATAAATCTGTCTGAAGCTGCAAAACATATTTGAGTCTTATAATGTAAGTAACACAGTCTATGAAGTCTTAATTAGCCTATAAACATTACTAACAGATCTAAAGAGCATTCATTGATATGTTTTACTACAAGGTGGCTACAGTGGTCTATTTATAATTCGGTACTTTAACTTTGCAGCATTAGCGGTGAAAGCAAGCAAATCTGTCCACACACTATTTTTTTCTTTTTATTTTTTGGATTTGGAATCCACAGTTAGTTTAACTGGGAAAACTGCTGTTTAGGTTCAGCAAAATGTATAGGAAAAGGTACCAAGCCATAGTATTTGAAAATTAAAATAGTAAAAAAAAAAGTTATAAATTTCCATATAATTTTTTGTCAAGTCCACAGGGAGCCACTTGCGAGGGGCTAAAGAGCCACATGTGGCTCCGGAGCCTCAGGTAGCCTACCCCTGCCCTAAAGCTAAGCAAGGTGAAACTGCGTCCATTTCACAGCATCAGATATGCAAACGGCCATCAAATGGCCTGATAATAGCTTTTGAACATAGTAGTAGGTGTGGCAGGCCCCTTCTAACCCATATCTACGAGACTAAGACCCAAAGAAAATGGGCTGATGGCATCTGAATCCAGGGCAGCTGAGAACAAAAAAGACAGTAACTTGCTGGTGAACGTAGTGGAACATTTACCAGTAAGGAGACTGATTTTTCTCAGGGGTTGGTGGAGAGCTAAAAGAGAGTGAATATCGAACTTGGGTTACAGAGAGGCCATACATACATCAAATTAATGCTAATGTTGCTCGGTGTCCGCTGAATGTTTAAATAAGCCACTGTTTTCCAATGCCTTCTCCAAACTATCTTCAAGATGATAATGCCCTCCTCACAAGTGGCAAAGAAATAAAAGGATCGATGAATGCAGCTTTAAATATATTTTAAAATGTTAATATGCTTTAACAGAGTGTCTATTTGCACATAATGAGAATGGTAGCAATGCAGCAATTTGGCTATTTACACCCCTTCCTGTGATGCGTTATTATGGATGATTGGCTAGCACTCATCATGTTGATGCGTGTAGGTCATAGTCAGGGCTACTACTAGCCAATCTCAGATCTTCTCTGAGATTTAACTTGTAAATTAAAAACAAACAAACAAACACACAAATGTACTGCCAGAAAGTCAGGTGATGTAGTATGAACAGCGACACAGTCCACAGAGGGTCAGCAGAGTCCACATTATTTTTTAGAATTAGTCGACTCATTATTTTCAGTTTTAAGGATCCATAAAGCTGCTGAATGCACACTGTGTACATAAACTTGACCAGAATAGATGAATAGACCTGTTTATGTTAACATCATAACTTCACTTTGCTAGGATGGCCAGGAATATACACCCAGGTGTAAATAACCTCATTGGCTATTCCACTCTGGGTCCAAATATCATTGTTGGCTACAGACAGCTGGGTGAAAATAGTATCTGCCATAATTTATTACATATTTCTTATTCAGTTACAGTTATGTGCACAAATACTTCATTTTCAAGCACAAATTAGATCATTAGAACATGACAGTGCTGTCCTTTTGTGTTCAGCCAGCAGTTACTACATTGGCACAAAGGTTAAAACCTAAAGTGAAACTATTTGACTGGACTTAGCTCTACTGAGAAATAGTTTTTATGTAAGTAGTCTGTTAATAAGAATAGCCCCCCTCCCTTTAATAATGTTAAATATTTCCACTGGCTACATATGTAATCAGGAATGAGTGGAGATGACGGCACCTGCCATTCGTTCTGCCTCACGAGACGCAAAGCCAAACATACTGAGCCTGTGAGTGAGCACGGCTCGTAAATTCTCTCAGGTACCTTCTGGTAATGGAAAGAATGTGTGCTATGCTGAGAGAAAGAAGAACCAGTTTGTCGAGATGGACGGATAGCAGCTTTCTGTCTCTGCTGAAAGAGGCCTCTTCCAGTCAAATCCGCTGTAAGAGTAAAGCTAGACCTACATAAAGCCTGTCTCAAAGTGCATTCAGTTGTCAAACCAAGCGAGACCGGGAGTGTTGCAACTGTTGCAGTAGTAAAAGCTTCCTCACTGCCAGTCAGATACAGTCATGGAGATCATTTTAGTTCCTTCATTTGACCACAATGAGTGGAATTTTGAATTACATTTCAATCTGTTACTTCATAAAAACATCAATGTATGTTGATATTTGGATTCAGGGGATTTTGATTTAGCTTCAGTGCAGAAACAATGTTTTTTGTGTCTCTTTCTTTCCACGTCTCAGCCAGGACAGTGCGCTAGTAACGGCCGGCGTCGTCATAGGACGTTACATCCAAGTCAAAGAAGTCCTCCAGCTTCCACTGCAGGGTCTCGAATGTGGGCCGTTCCTGTTCGTTCTCCTTCCAGCAGTCCATCATGATGTCATACATGACTTTGGGACAGTTGGCAGGGCTCGACATCCTGTAGCCCTGTGGAACCCTCTGGACTACCTGGTAATTGGTCATGCCTGGAAGAAGGACATTATAACTTATCTTGCGGGAGACAATTATTTTGCATTAGATGTTTACCTGGAAGGTTTTGTGACTTTTAGATTGCTACCTACAAGTCCAGTGCGGAGGATTTAGGGAAATATATTGGCTGAAATTGAATGTAATATAGCAAGTCTGTTTTTCTTTGTTTATAATCGCCTGAAAATAAGAATTGTTGTGTTTTTGTAACCTTAGAATCAGCCGTTTATATCTACACACGGAGTGGGGCTTCATTTAAAGAAATCACCATGTTGTATCGCCATGTTTCTACAGTGGCCCAGAATGGACAAACCAAACACTGGCTCTAGATGGGGCATACATGTATTTGCGTCGGCCACCATAATTAGCAAGCCCCCTGTGACAAACAATGCTGGAAAAACACAATTTATTAAGGTAAAACTGCTTTATTCAGTGTTTTTAACCAGTTTTAATCACCTGGTCTGTTTGTTTTGGAGAGGAAGAGACCTCTGTGAATAATTTGGCTCAGGGGAAAAACCTCTTGAATTTCAGGGACTGGTTGCATAGAATACCTTAAGAATTCTCCTTAAGTGTAAGACTTAATTTCTCCTTAGCTAAGGGACTAAGAGTTTTCCTTAGTTAAGGAAAAATGTTAACTTTACTTTTGCTGCATTGACAGAGATTTTACAGCCTAAATACTTGGTTTGCTTGCACTTGTGCTTGTAACACCTCAAGTCTTTCATGCAATAGTTAGACTGAGGGTGCATTTGGAAATAGTCTCTCTGAGTGCCTGAGCGCAATCTGGTACAAACTGGACTGTTTGTACCGTTTGGTTATCCACAGCACCACACTCTCTGAGTGGCAGAGCGCCAAGCAGAGTAAATGTGTGATAAACTTAACTGTTGGTTAATTAGTGTAGAAACAGAATGCTCTGTTTCTTCAAACAACAGGGCTTTCATATTAGTGTAGAACATCAGATTGGAGATAAGGAGAAAACGTTAATACTTAAGTGAACATTTTAAGGAAACCTTTAAGACTTAAGGGTGTTTTGTGCAACTGATTTTAGTTTAAAGAAACCTAAACTCAGACTCAGGAAAATCTTAAGGTGTTTTGTGAAACCAGCCCCTGGATCTTAAGTTATCAGAGGAAAAAGGTGAGCACACATTAGCAGGTGCTAGGCTAGTGACCCATCCCCAAACAGCATTGAAGAAACACTGATTTGTAACGTGAAACTGCTTTATTCAGTGTTTTTTACCAGTTTACATCAGCGCGTCTGTATGTTATGACATATAAGAGACCTCTGCTGATAATCTAGCGTCCAGTAAAAACCTCCTGAACAATGAACACTGAAGGAATTCTAACCAGTAGAAGTGTCAGCTGGTTGCAGTTAACAATCCTCACTGCTAGATGCCACTTAATCCCCCTAAATTTTACACACCGATCCTTTATATTCATACAACTATCACACTTAGACAAACAGACAACTCTGAATAGGTTACTCCCACTTGATGTTGTAAATAATTTATGACAAGGCAGATAAAGGTCTCACCTGGGTAAGGCATCTGTCCGAATGTCATGATCTCATACAGCAAAATTCCAAAGGACCAAACATCTGATTTGATGCTGAACTTGTTGTCATGGATGGCCTCAGGAGCAGTCCACTTCACAGGGAATTTAGTTCCTTCTTTGGCTTCGTACACATTTTCATTCTCTTTCTAGAAACAAAACAAGGCGCACAAGACAGATTTTGACTTCCAGTCAGCTTTAGTGTAGAGGTCCACAATTTCACAACATGACCAGACAAAATGTGATTTTAGAGCGGTGTTTGATACATGGGTGCTGTCACGGCAGGCATTTGGGGCTGACAATACCTAATGTGAAACAAACTGTGTGGCTTGGGTTGTGGAGTGTTTATTAGACTATATAATGCATGCCATTCAATAAGGACAATATGTATAATTACTGAAGAATGTGGGCTTGCTTTAGTTTCACTTCAGCCAGTCTCCGTTGGTTAGCTGGGCAAATTTAGTGGGAGGACAGTGTGGGACTGAGAGGGGAGCTGTTTCCAAAATTTAAGATTTATCACTAAAATAAGCGCCAGTTGGTGGATCAGATTCACACCAAATTAAACACCGACTCTTGTTCTTGCACTCCACTGGTTTCTGCTGCTTTTTCCACAGTTCATTAGAACCGAGACTTGTTCATGTTCTTGCACCTCGAGTCCCCGCAATGCCCAGTTCGCTGCTTCCTGTTTGGTGCTGGAGAGACTGCAGCTATTGGTTGCTGATAAAGTTGATATCATTGAACTTCAGTATTTGAATGAGTCTAAAGACTTATGATAATATTTAATGCTTGATTTTGTTGGAACGTCAAGATGAGAAAAAGACTGATGGTCATTTTGACATTGGAAGTTTGTCTGTGATGGTGAAATTGCTTAAAAAGTTGTTTGGTAAATTAACTTCTTGATCAGCTTATACTGGCCTTACACCTAAGTATTTCTTCAGTGTAGTTAACATTTTAATTGCAATTGTAATTGTAATTACATTCATTATACAACACCTTATACAACACCGCTTTCAACTCACCATGAAGACCCTGGCGAGGCCGAAGTCAGCCACCTTGCAGATGTTGTTGTCGCCCACCAGCACGTTCCTGGCTGCCAGATCTCTGTGGATGTAGTTCTGTAACTCCAGGAAAGCCATGCCTGACGCCACCTGGGCAGCCATTTCAATCTGGTCAGGGACGCGCAGCGTGGCGCCCTTATCCTCTGTAATCAAGCAGAGAGGCACACAATCAGTCACAGTCTCACCATGTTTAGGTATCATAGGCAGCAGGAGAGAAATATGATAAAGAAGAAAATTATTCCGCCTGATTTCAATCTGGAGAAATTTTAACTGTAAAATAACAAAGTTTTATAATGTGGTGGTAAATAACAGTTTTGCACCTTACATCTGATGAGAAATTTTGGCCAATGCTGGAGGCTAGCTGCCTGTGCCTTCTTACCCTTTGCCCCTAACATGGAACTTTGACAAATCAAAATATGGCTTAACAAGGAATCATTCTAAAACTGGAACTCAAATGAGAGAAATAAGTATAAAACTCAAACAAACTGCACTTTTTAAACCACATTTTATCTCATAATTCATATTTCTGACTTAGCAAGCAAGAGTTAAAATAATTATTTGGCGATCATTGACTTTGTCAAATAAAATGTGAAATGGCAGCAAATGTCCTCAGCTGTAACAAGTTAAGAATAATTACTACCTCTTAATTCTGAACTAATAACCCTTGACTGTTGCACGCTGGTGTCTGCGCTATTGAAACGTCCTTCATCCCCCAAATGATCAATTGTATATTAATTACCTCATCCTTGTTATGCTTCATTTCAGGAAGAAAAATCATTTTTCTCAAGAATCCAAAATGGAAAAAAATTCTTGGGGAATTTCAGTAAAAGGGATTCCCATTGAACAACAGCAAAACTAAATCAAAATGTCTGTTTAAAAACTCCTGTTTAGTATAACTCAAGTTTAATTTATCCAGTTGTATGCTCAGTACTAACCAAAAACTAAAAGCTCACTATCTAAAACACTTGTGTCTCATAGATGGACAAGTAGCGCACCTACGCTGTTGTTAAACACCATCCCCGATTACTTCAGTTCATCAAGAATCTTCACCGTTTTTGGATTCTTCATTCACCACTGAACCCTACACACACCATCCACCTTCTTTTCACTCTTTAGGATTATACGGGTATGTACACACTCCACCTGCTCTTCTCAATCAAAAGAAGACTTAAAGTAAAATTTGTCCAGGGACTAACTCAACTCCCCTTTTACAGTTGTGTTTTTTGTAATTCACTATGCTTATCATGAACAATTTAATTAATAGCAGATCATGTGTTACACCTCATACTTGTGACTTTGAACATGTCCTAGCCATGACATGTTACAGTAGTTGGTATATGGTGAGTTATGGTTGATGTGGGTCACCAGACAGACTGTCTCAGGGTTGCAGACATCAATTCCACACCAGCGCTCCTCAGAGTGACACTCGGTCTAAATAAAAGTGACACTACATCTCTCAAACGACAGCGCAGCATGTCTGTGTGAGAGGTGAGCACTACACATGTCCCAGCAAGTACAAGGTCCAAAATGGAGCTTCTGTCAGAGCACTAATGAGCATCAGGGTCACTCTCCGTTTACTGCAGGTGTTAATGCCACAGTGGAAAAACAGGTGTCAGTGACCCAGCATTTGAAAAGGCCACCTCTGCCCTCCTAAGTCCATCCAGGAATTTATATTCTTTCCTGACTGTATACTCCTGCAACTAATGATTATTATCATTATTGACAGATCTGCTGATTATCCTCTCAATCAATTAACAATTGTTTTGTCCATAAATATTTTAGTTTAGTTATTTTAAATATTTTTTATTAAAAAGAAAACTAGAATGAACGCCTTGTGGTTATATGCCACCAACATCCAGTCAATTTGTAGTTACAGTTTACATCCATGTCTGTCCAGACTCTTATGTAGGAATGACAGTGGACAATACTTCAAATATGGATGTTGTTGTAAAGAAGCTACATTTTTGAAATCATGGATGATTCACACACATCTTCAACCCGGCAGCACAGAAGATCTATACAATCAGCAGAGTTTCAAGGTGGACAGTACACCCAAGGTAAGTGTCACCAATTCAGTATCTGACCAAATGTCTCCCCTTCTGTTCCTGAGATAAGGTTGAATAATGGCCAGAAAAGTTTTTTTGCAGAACATTATGATGACCTTTGACCTTCTGATATAAAATGTCATCAAATCATCATTTTATTCTGTTAGCTATTTGTGTGAAACTTTGTCATAATTCACCAATGCATTCTTGAGCTATGCCAATTTAAAAAATAAGAAGAAAAAAAAGTTTTTTGTGAGGTCACAATGGCCTTGACCAAATTTCTTGAGTCCAAGTAGACATTTGTGCTCAGTTCGAAGAAATTGCCACTAGATGCCTCTGAGATATCCGGCTGACAATAATGGTACAGACACTAGGTCACAATGACCTTTGACCACCAAAATCGAATCAGGTCATCCTTGAATCCAAGTGGACGTTTGTGCTAAATATGGTAACAGGTAATCAGGTAATTGCCAAGAGCCCAACATATATGTCATATTTAATTTACCATGATAAATGGCAGAGACATCAAATCTTAACTTTGGAGAGGGTGGAACCAGAGAAAGTTTGGCATTTTTGCTTGAAAAATAACAATGGCGATTAATCAGTTCACAAAAATTGCTCCTCAGTTGACCATTTGATTAATTGACTGATTATTTCAGCTCTATGTGTAGTACAAAAAAGAGAACATTAAAGAGCCATACACAAAGCTAAAGAGAACATTTGGCAAAATGTTGTAGACCAGCCCACCACAATTTGACACAAGTAGAGATGAACAAGATGAGATGAGATGCAACATGACATTAATGCACTTTTGAAGTATCAAGTAGGAGCTCTGCTAGGTTATTTATTTTTTAAAAGAGAACTACAGAAACTACATGCCTCTCCCTCTGCACCCTACCCGCCGGTGAAGCATCTTACAGTCTGAGAAATATCTGTAGTCAAAACTGTCCAATTAATCAGTACAAAAATTATCTATGAAAGAAAAACATCTGCCACAAAGCAGTATTGGCTGGTGTGCATTACAATACAACAAATGCTGACATCGGCTGTTAAATTAATCATGTAATGCATGAAGCTTGAAGTTCAAACACACATACAACTCATGCGGACCTGGAACCTGAAGTGGACTGATTCTGGCCCCGGCTAAATAAAATTCATGAACTATGTGCAGGTAGGTACAAAGTTTGGATTGAAAAACTGTAGGATCTAAAATTGTTTTGTTGCTCTGGGATAAATCTCTACTGTAGTCTGACCATTGCACACTAACAGTGGACTGTCATGAAGTAGCAATAGTTCATTATATGGGTATATGAAAATGAGGTTGCCTTACTATTGAGGAACTCAAGCAGGCTGCCATTCATCAGCTCTGTGATGATGTAGATGGGCTCCTCCATGGTGCACACAGCGTACAGCTGGATCAGCTTGGCGTGCCGCAACCTCTTCATGATCTGAGCCTCTCTCAGGAAGTCCTCGGCATCCATGGTACCTGCAAGAGTTGTATAGTGACTGTACATTAGGAGTGGAACTTTGAAATATAAATGTTTTGTAGTGGTTACTGTTGTGTTTGAACTTCTAGACAGATCCTTGGATTTTCTGTAAATGAGTAAGTGTTCACTCATCATTCTCAGTGACAACAGGAAATTGTAACTGAGGTCCCTCAGGGCTCTATCATAGATCCCATTATCTTTCCGTTTTGAAAAGCTCTTTCTTGGTGTACAGACATAATTTCTCCTTCCACTGAAATGCAACTTTTCTATCAAATAATTGAAGGCAAATACTGAATGCTTATTTCTGGCTCTTCCTGGAACACTTTGCATTTTGGAATCTTTATGACCTCTGTAGTTTGGCTTCTTACACTAAAGCTGCAATCTTTGTACAAAAAGCCGTAAGCAGTCCCTGTTAGCTTACTTGGGACAAATGGGTCAACAGAATAATATAGACCTGTTTTGTACAGTTTAGAAATGAATTCAGTGTTTTTCCCCATTTAATTCAACATGTTTATCTCACATCTCCAGCTTGCTTAAAATGCCACAGCTATGATCTTAACTATAACCAGAGAAGAGACAGTACCATGCTACTTAGACACTGAAGTTGTTTTCAGATTTCACTGATCCCATACTGTTGATTCTGATTCCTTAATAGTATGTTTCTGGTTTAACACCTGTAGTGAGAAAAAAGCAGCCCAGTCACCAAAGGAAAATGTTGGCATTGTACATCTCTGCAAACCACAATTACGTTATATTTGTACACGTCATTCATATCATGTCAATGTTTCTAATGTGACGTAGTACATGTCATGGTTTGTCATCTCCATGGGATGGCAAAGATCACTGTTCCAGACCAACAAAACCAGTTGTTTTTTTAGTGAGTCATCCCTGTGTTTCCAACAGTTGAATTTCCAACAGGGACTGTGTCACCAAACTGGGTATTTTAAGCCAAAACTTTATCTTTTCCTCACTATACCCAAATGTTTTTCTGTGCCTAAATCTAACCACATATCAACTGCAGCATTATTGACATGTAAAGAAACATAAAGTTTCAACATATCTGCTACATAATAATGTACAAATGTAACATATCTGTGGTTTGCAGAAAGGTATAATGCCAAACTTTTTTCTAGCAATTGGGTTAAGGAGGCAATAGTGTACCAGGTTTGAGGGTCTTCACTGCCACTGCTGTGGTATCATTCCACAGGCCCTCGAACACTTCTCCAAACTGTCCTGCTCCAAGCTTCCTTATCAACCTGATGGAGCTGCGGTCAATCTCCCATTGGTCCACAGTGTTGTAGGAGAGACCATGAGTCTGTGGAGCCTCCATCTACACACACAAGAAGAGTCGCTGCTTACTGAGATGAAGATGTGATTTTATAATGTACAAAAAAGCAGAGTAATAATGGAATTTAGAAAATAAGCAGGATGTATTTAATATACAGTGTGTTTTACCTTTTTGCATGGTTCACCCAGACGCACACAGAGGCCATCTGCCTGTTTGGAGTAATGTTCCACCAACTCCACAAGTGTATGAAAAGCTCTGGTCCTCGACACAAAGTAGTCACCATTCTCCAGTCTTTTCAGCTTGTAATGCTTCACCCTCCCACTGTCCTGCACTGAAAGACACGTCAACATCAGTGATATTCAAGAATCAACAACTGTAGAAGTCAAGTTTCCTCATGGAACATAGGCACAAAAATTATGATCAAAGCAAGCAAACACACGTTTGTCATGGTCTCACTTACACAACCATCGTGAGACATTCTAACAGGCTTAATATATGAAGAAATTTTAATTTCCAATCATTTCTAAAATATATTTTTATTATTGCTTTGGCTTGCTATTGTCAATACCGGATGCCGTAATTATAGCAGTGTATTTGTATTAACTGCATTAAAGCAGTGTTGATTGATTTTTTTGGGCCACTTGGTGGCAACCAGAGACTGTAAAAAAAGAAGAGGACATAGCCACGGTGAGGTCGCCCATTGGTTTGTTGACTACTGTTTGTTTTGTATTGGCCATTGCCGTCTTGGTTTTGAGGAGTTAGAAATGACCATATTTACCAGACACAAAAAACCAGAGAACACCGCCATGGTGGCGACTTGTCAATCACAAGGTATCACCTCCATACCCTGCTTTACCACCTACTTTACTATAATGGGACCATGATTCATAAAATGAACATCATGTTGTATTAAAGAAAACTTCAAACTAGTGATTGAGACCATAGACTCATTAGGAAAATGTTTACTCAGATAATAAATCAAGTGAGAAGCAGGGTTTTCCTCATTGACTTCTATACAATTGGACTTCTATTTGCAACCAGAGGAGTTGCCCCATGCTAGCTATTAAAAAAAATGCAGGTTTAAGGTTTTCTGCTGTTTGCTCCTGAGCAGGTGGTGTACAGTGGATTTATTAGAGCTTTTCCCCTGAAAATTGCCCGCTGCAGTTGGAAATGGGTTTCATTAATTATTGATGAGAGCCCCATCAAAAACCAAAACAATGAGCTACAAGAAGCTAAAAAGCTCTGTAGCCCTGAAGAGAACTGAGAAGTTTGGTGAAAATTCTCTGTAATGAGTTGACTATGAATGTTCATGACAGATATACATATACATAATGGCCATTAACTAAACCATCACTGCAAAGTCCTTTTTTAGTTTCTATACATAAATCAATCAAAATTTCAGCAAGGAAAAGTTGCTAAAATTGACACCTTTCTGCATTTTCACATATACATACAGTAGTGATGGAGTATGTTGTATGTTGTTGCCCAATGAACATTCTACAATACTATCAGAAGGCCTTAAAATACATATTATAGGGATATGATCACTGGAGATGTGCTTCAGTATAAAGAAGGATACAGTGCCATAAATTTACTAAAAATATAGCTAATAATCTTGAATTAGAATCGTAAAATAATGTCTAGGGATGAACAATAATATCGGTACATGCTCGGTATCAGAATCGCTCAACATGCTTTTTTTAATTTTTGCACAATGAATGAATATTATATACAATGAAAAGTACTGTATTTCTTGTCTCCATCTGCTGGTGGGCAATCACGATAAGAGTATGCTTTTATAATATGATGTAAATTCCACTATAGAAGAGACTTACTGATCACTAAAATTAGGTGGGAAAAAAAGTGTATATACATATATATCGATATCGGTATCAGTTATCAGCCAAATGAGTTGTTTGTTACATATCTGCATATCGGATATTCGTCATTGCTGCTGGTTTACATCATGCAGTAAAACATGGAGAAAATAAACATTAAATGAAATTTTTGTTGCAACAGAACAATTCTTTTTGATAAGCGTTTTTCAGCCTTTTGTACGTCAACTTTGTTCATATCAGTCGTTATCATGTGTTAATCAAGGACACAGGTTCAAAGGCAGCCGTTGAATAGTGGCCAACATTTGAAAACTTATAACTGCTCTATCAAAAAAAAAAAAAAAAAAAAGTGCCGTCATTCTTTCTTTTGATTCCATCTAATTAAAAAAGTAAAACTTTTCCTGGGCTAAATATGTTATCACCTGATTCACACACAAACTCCCAGGGGTTAGTGGCTGTGAATTAGGTCATCAACCGGCTTTAATGAATGAACATGGAAAGAATTTGGTCATAATGGAAAGAGCAAGGCCAGAGCGAAAAGACAGATTAGAGCAGAGAGAGATAAAGTTATCACACTGCTTTATGGGAGCACAGACCTCTGTTTATTTAACTTGAGGACCTTGAAGCCATTAATCATTTGAGTCAGTTGGGGATAAGTTTGAGTCACCGAACAATGCTAGGGGTGTTTGGAAATGTGTGTTTTGTGGCAAAAGTACACAGACAGCAGAATGCTAACTAGCAAACTAGCATGACTACATCGGACAAACAATATCGATCAAGTGGACTAATACACTGGTACAGTTTAAATGTTTTGGCAGTCTGATTGCTTTAGGAATTATACTCAGACGTGGCTGCACCAAAGTGCCTCTCAAGTCATTATGGGTTAATAATTATTCTGATACATAAAACCACAAAGTTCTGTTAGTACGTGCCTGTAGCAGCAAAAGCCCTGAGTGTATTGAACAAGGGTGTATTTTATTGCTTATAATTTCATTCAATTTTATTTTTTTAAAGAATAAAAAAAGTCATTTGTTCTTCATAAGTTACAGGCTAAAAGCATGGATGCCTGTTTGGGTGTCTTTCATTGTCGACATAGTAGAAACTTAGATCTCTTTACTTTTTCCACATTCATTTTCCACCTATAACCCTTTCCCACCAACATGGAACCAGGTCCGTTCTGGTTCCCGCCCCTTATTTTGAACTGTTCAGAGCATCTCAACCAAAAATAAATTGATTCAGAACCAGAAAAACTTGGCTGCAACTTTGCAGATAATCAATGTAATCAGCGATTTTGCTTACTGTGTATTTCCATTGTGCATTGTGCAATGCCCTCTGTTGATAACGCATCCTTGATTACAATGTTCTACTCAAAACTGGTGGATACACAGGCTGGTTCATTATATAGGACCAAGGTTCCAAGAATCCTGAACATAACATGCTCAAGAGCCAGAGCTAATTTGGTGGAAAAGTGGTATTAGTGATCTGCAGCATGTAATATAGTAGGGATACCTAATCCCTAACCCTAGTCAGTGTAATGACTCAGTTATATCACTTATTATCTATATAATGCTTGCTAGAATTATACACGTTAGCAATCAGACATTAAACCCCTCACATTTTGCTGCTGAATAGAACCAGCATGTGCTCTCCTGTCAGTCCAGTCGCAAGACAAAAATATTGGCATTATCATGTCAGTGTTTCTAAAGTGATGTTGTATATGAGCTGGCTTTGTCATCAGGTGATGGAGGGGATGGGTGATGGCGTGTCACCTGGCAACCTGCAGACCATTGTCTGAGACCTACAACAAAACCAGCTGTACTATAGCAAGTCGTGGCTTTGTGTCCAGCAGCTTTTTAGATACCAAACGTGAGTGTTTTGTAGCCACCCGTCACTGTTTATCCAGCAGATTTTTAGGCACCAAATGTGGGTAATATGCAGTGACCCAATACTGTTTTTCCAGCAGGGATAGTGCCATGAAAAGCAGTTGTTTTTTACCAAGTCGTCAGTGCATTTCCTGCCAAGACAGTGGCACATAAAGCAGTTGTTTTTTATTAAGACATCACTGCTTTTCCAGTGGAGATTGTGCCCCGAGACCCAGGTATTTCAAGCCAAAACATGATCTTTTCCTTACCATGACCAAGTGGTTTTAGTGTCTAAAGCAACACACAGTGCCAACATTTTATCTGGTGATTGGGTTGTTATTTATTAATGAATTCAACTTCTTGAAAGAAGGTTGTGTCATTTAATCTTTCAATATGTACATAGTACCTATTTAATGTTGATATTAATGTGCACTGTTCCTTTGAGCAAATGGGCAAAGGTATAGAAATCAGTGAATGCGTGTTTGGTTTCAGGGAAGAATTTCAGTTGCTACTGTAACATTTTATCTTACCTGAGAGGGAGAGCTCCCCTTCCTGACTTTCACAGTTTCTGATGAGGAAGGCGCCGTGCTGGTTCCCTTCTGCCAACAGCATCTTCTCTGCATCCAGCCTCTTGGTTTTGGGAAAATACCATCTGCAAATCAGAAATTAGGCAAAGAAGCAGAGCTGGTCAAACATAAAGGCCATTTCTGAATATAAATATTAAACAGAAAAACTTTAATCATCAGGGGGCAAAGGGGACAATTTGTTCCCTAGTAATTTGATTGATTGCAAATTGGCTTATTAAGACTGTCGGCACCACTAACACAAAGTATAACACTGTGATTTTTACCCAATCAAAAATGTTAAAAGATTAATGTGGTGATAGTGTTCATTTTTCCTTTTGACAACATCCCCTGAAAATCTCAAACCAACAAATATTGTGTGCGTTTCAAAGCCTGATATATCTTCATCCTCTGTACCATAGAGCTCCATTGTTGTCCAAAAACTATTAAAACATCAGTGAGCCACATTGTTGCCCTGGGTAACAAGTTCCTTCATAACTATGAACACACACACATTTTACTTTATTTTGACTTAATACTACAAATACCATTCTGCTGCCTCAAACACTCACTATATGTGGATTAATCTGACACTGACAACAGTCCCCAGCAACACTTGTTAAAAACTATGGTGCCCAGCTTTAAACAAAACAAAACAAACAAACAAAAAAAGACAGTATATATTCATGGCCCATTTTTAAAGATCTTCAGTAGGAGCCAGTTAGTTTGGGACAGGCCAGGGTGGGAAAGTCGTAAAGTATTACAAGACGGACTAATCTTTTCATGAGATAGGTTGACAATACGAAAGACACAGAGTAAGACCAGCTTTATCTCCTCAGACCTATTATTTCAGTCTATATTGATCTTACATGACACATTATCCTCAATTGTTTCAAGTCCATAAACTAATATGAATAAGGAGAAGGTCAATAAGGTCCTTCCCCCACCCCCACCCCATGTCCCCCCCTAGCAGGTAATGGAATCAAAATACATTCACTTAAAGAAATGATCTGTTTTCTTGAATTTTCCTGATTATGTCCCAGAATTCTAAGAAAAGTTTTCATGAAAATAAATTTCTGCGTATCTTTCTCTGAATTAACTTGACAATATATAGGCCTAGATAATAATCAGGGTATATTCTTGTTAATTCAGAAAAACAAGAGCAGATTTTTTCCCATAAAGACCTCCATAATAATTTTGAGATAATAATCTTGTTCATTTAAAAAACAGGGCAGATTTTTGTGAATGCATTACACTCTTGTAGCTGTCCCTGATCAAACTGAGACTAGTCCCAGCAGCGTATCACATTCAACCACAAGTGCAGTCCATAAATACAGAATCTTAACCTAATCTATATCTAATTGAAACCTTTAACTTTACACACACACACACACTGTTTGCTGCTGTCTTCAGATATGTATATTAGGAAACTAATTCTTCTGGTTTCAAGTTTGTAGCGAAACCCTGACCCAAATAATGCCTATGGTGATGGAGGAAATCAAACCTACACTGTATTTTTACCTCAGTAAACAAAACAGGAAAAACCAGAGTACAACTGAGAAGAAACTGGTATCACTGAGAGTGTGAGGAGGCTGAGAACGAGACATTACTCTTTCCAACAATTCAGCTACACACATCAACAAAACCAAGTAGCCTACTCCTTTATTATTTTAATAAAAACAATGTCAGTTACCACACACAGTAGTATCTGAGCACGCTGAAGTGGCAGCCAAAAATAAATTCATGGCAAAACCAGTTTCTCTAACTATCCACAATGATGAAGTCATAGTTGCTAAACAGGATATACAAATGTCCATGAAAGGCCAGCAAAGGAATTCAATGCACCCTTGATGTTCTTGTGTTTTTGAGTCTTACTTTCAATTATTAACCTGTAAGCTTACATTTCCTGGTCACAGACAATCATTAACCAGTTTAAGACAAGACTTTACTCTGTAAGACATTCAGCACCAATTCAGAAAAATATGTTCTGTAAAGTGGCATGAGAAAAGGACTGTATGTGTCAGTAGGCTCTCCAAATACAACCTGGGACAATCAGTTAATTGTAAAACAAACATCATAGACTGGAATTTTGATAGGCTATAGAAAGGGGACTGCTGTTTCAGAAAATGCCCTGATAAATGAATATGAAGGGTGATGATGATGATGATGATGATGATGATGATGATGATGATGATGATACTTACGGTTCAGCATCAATACTCTCCACAGGGGCCACATAATTAGCCGGGATGTATCCCTTTTGATTGGCCGAGACCCCGGTGAGGGCTTTCGCAAACCACCATTCACCACTACTTTTATCCAGAGCCTCTAAAGTATCCCCACTGTTAAAGCTCAGGTCCTCCTCAGTCCGAGCGGAGTAGTCATACTTGGCGACGTAATAGACCCCTGGTTTCTCCGCTGGGGGCCGCGGTAAAGTTCTATTCGGATTAAAGTCCGGCTCTGACTTTTTGAGGGCAACGGGATTCGTAATAACAGTGTCAGCTTTCACCCCACGCCTGGTCTCACCTCCAGAGTCGTCCGGCTTTTTAAAACATCCCAAAAAACTCTGCCAACACAAAGAAAACCTCTCTCGGATCTCCATGGTGCGATCGTCAATCACAGCAAGTCATTCTGTGCCGGGGATAAGCGGAAATAGTTTGGGGGAATCCCTTCTGCTGGCTCATGATCCAAACTCCATAAAACACAGAGTCATTTTAATGCTTCCAGTGTTTGACAGCATGCACTCAGACAACACAACACACTGAGGAGGACGTGACTGCCACTTAAAGTCTTAAGTTTCCTGGAAGAGAGTTCATGGTTCATGTTTAAGTGTGCCAACCCACAATCACCTGCACCTGCTGAGGAATGGGGAGCGGCTTACCTTCAGTGACGTCACGTGCCCCCTGGTGGCCATACTGGAGGACAGCGCCTGTGGGCTGATGATGAAGGAAGAGTTGTGTTTGGAAGAAATGCGTCACCATTTTCCGATTTATGTTTTTATGATGTTGTGAGATCACTCATAATGGAAGCCCCCTCCTGCCAGGAAAAAAAACACGACATACAGAAAGTGACATGATTTTTATGGTCAGTCACAATAATGTGGCCCTGAGGAAAGGTTATGTGATAGTGCCTAGAAATTAAGCCACAGCAAGTAAGATTTTTACTTATTAAAGGAATACTTCATCCCCCAAAATGACCATTTGTATATCAATGTCGCTTCGAATTTGTGAGGAAAACTATTTTCTCTCGCATGCTTCCATGTTGAATGAAGAATCCAAAAACTGAGAAAACTCTTGATGAAATTAGGTCATGGGGTTTAAAAACAGCAAAACTGTTTCAACATTTTTACATATTCTCACACAGCTCGTGCAGTATAATCCAAGTCTAATTCATCCTGTTGTATGCTCAGTACTTCACAAACACATGCATTTTTTGCTAAATCTGTGGTGTTAAAAATTTAACTGAAGGTGAAACTTACCTACTCTCTCTTTAAAGCCACACCCTATTGACAAAAACAGTAATTATACTTTGCTGAACATGGTTGTTGCTGGTCTACCACCGCCTCAATTGGTAGTTTGTTTACGTCACTGTTACTTTGGTGAATGCGAGCCAACCCTGTAAAACACCAAAGTCATACAACAACACAAATTAACTAACTGATGGAGGCAGTGGTAGACCAGCAGCACCCGTGTTCAGCAAGGTATAATCACTATTTTGTTGATGAAGTCTGGCTTTGAGGAGAGCAAAAATATGTTTCATTATTAAATACTAAGGTTTTACAAAAATGCATGTGTTTTGGAAGTATTGAGCATATGTATCTCAAGGCAACTGAGTTTTCTTCACAAATTCAGTGTAAAATGGGGTGAGTAACTGATGTAGATGGTTATTTGGGGGGTGAAGTATTTCTGTGAGTCACAATTATGAGATAATAAATCCAAATTATGAGTCAATACTTCAATATCATGGCCAGATTAACCTATTAGTAGGCCTGAGCGTAGGGGCAACAACATAAGGTAATAATGCAGAATCTGCTTTTGTGGATTTGCAAATTGAAATTTGCAATTAATCAGACTGCCATAAAGTAAATGACATTCAGGGAACCTGAGGAACTTTTGGTTACAGTTAAGTCAACATTTTGATACACTAGGCTACATCATAATTTGGGCTCCTTATTTGTATTTCTTTATTTATTTTATTTCATCATTACTCACTAATTACTGCTTCAGAGAGATAAACTGGGTGCTCGGCCTCAAAAAACAACTCAGTTATAAAGGGGGACACCACATAAATTAAGAATTCCAGTATGTTCTTTCCATGGCTGAGGGAAGTACAATCAGTATTTGAAAACATGAGGTAATCTCTTAAAGCCAGAAACCAGAGTAGGAAGTCTCAAACTTGTGATGTCATAGGGTATACAGTCTGGAGCTGCTTCATAGTGAGTGAATTGGAGTCTGATTTTGTGGACCCAAAGAATGATTCTTTTCTTCTTTATACCCAAATGAGCTTTATTCTATTGTAGTGTCCACAGTTCTGAAACAGAAAATGTACCGGTATACTCAGAGCAATCCCCTGGTGCTCTCACTGAGTGCAGTTACATGGACATGAGTAACATAAATGTTTATGAGGCTTATCCCAGTTTGATCAAATTCGGGATATGGTGTTATACAGTGTTATATTTCCCGAGTACTCCAGCCAGCATATTTGGGTTTCTCATAAACAACATATGGTGTTTACATTCTCAAACACATAAACGGGATACTCCACAAACCTGATCATGAACAGCTTATTCATGACCATGTAAATGCATTCAGTGTCATCTATAACAGTGGTTCCCAACTGGGCCAGCCACGGCGTCCAGATTTCTCCTTAGTCATTGGTTCAAGGTCCACACAGTTCAATATATTCAGCTTCATTCTTGCTGTTGGCCATGTCGTCAAGCTGTGTGAAGTAGTTGTCAGTTAATCATTCACTCTACAACAAGAACTTGCACTTCAGAATAAAAGCTATGCACCAGAAATTGCCTGTACTTCAGAATACAGTGTGTTTTTTACAAACTTGACACATTTGCTAGTCACTTGTGGTCCATTCAGGATGGACATGCAACCCACTTTTGGGCCACAACCCACTAGCTGGGAACCACTGATCTATAACATCTTACCCAAGTCATTGTCTGTGGAGCAGCTCCTAGGTTTACACCTCTTGGCCTGTGTTGGACCATAGCAATAACATGTAGGCCATGAATTTTGAAAATGGGTGTAGTTCCCATTTAAAGTCATCACCATAAAAGCAGTCAATGTCTGTGCAGCTTCATGTTTAATGAAAATATCACTCCTGATGCATTTTATGAAAGGGTCTGTGGAGGGGGGTTCATAGGGCTCCAGCAGTTAATGTTGCCCCAGTAGTTTGAGTAGTTTGAGTAGTGAGTAGTTTCATCCAGCCCTGGATAATTGAATGCGCTTTCCAAATTCATTTGCGCACACACAGCGTATGTTACGGTTTCGTCCCACACCCGGAAGCAGTGCACTCTCCCGCACTCGCCTCTCTGCCGCCTTCTTCTGGCACACAGGAGTTTAACTCCTGGCTCTTCATGCTCAACTTATTGACGGTAACCGGTCACTGATAATCGACGCGGCTTTCGGAATACAGTTTGGTGAATTGTTTTCGCGGTACCGTAAGCGAAGGCTGAGCAGCGCGTGTCCGGACCGCAGTCCCATCCCCGCCGTCAGTCAGTGACATTGACACATCAGTAGTGTTGTGCTGCTGTGCACAAGTTACTGTGTGTACGGTAACGTTTCCCCGCAGTTCCCCCTGCTTCTGCTACAATGAGCGAATACTTCAGCCTGTCGGACAGTGATGTTATCGGCTTCGACCTGGACCACACGCTCTGCCGCTACCATCTGAAGGAGACCTCCAGGGTGAGTGTGTGCAGCGCGTGCAGCTAGCTCCGATACATAACCATACGGTGGCCGCGACGCTTCGATCCGCAACACATCTGGATTAAAAATAGCACGGAGCCGTCAATACGCTCCACGGTCACTTGTCAGTTCTGTCGTGCCTGTACGGATACATGGTGCTGAAATGCCCGTCAGTGTGGGTCGTGTCTGAATGGAGAGATGTGTGCAAGGTGATGCGATGCTCCTGATGCTGCAGTCACTCTGCGTGACTCACAGGTTGAACGTCGGCGGTGATGATCATACATGTCTTTAAATCCCCTCTGAGGCGTATTGGCAGCAGCATATTCTCATATCATGTTGCATTTGCGGTTATTATAAGCTACAGTCAGTGCAGGCTCACAGGGTCGAGCTGGATTCTGTGACACCGAGTGACAGAACCTAAATGACTGTTGAATCCCAGCCAATCATTATGGCCTGGTTTATCAGGCCTGGAGTTCATTTATGCTCTCTCCCTGTCCCCATGCATGTCACATGTATGTCTACTGATCCTGTCAGTGCAGTGGCCTAGGATAGGGAACTGTAAAGGGCCATCACATAAAGCAAATCTCATTTGAGGATTGTTTGACTTAATGGAAGAACCTGTGTCTATGCAGATGCAGTCATGCAAGAGATTTCTCTTAAGTTGAATGTGTATTACAGGCTAATGAATATTGCATGTTGAATATACTGAATGTTAGTGTCATTACAGAGATGCTTACTTTCAGTAATGAATTGTTTGTTCCCCTTAAATGACTGAAAAAACTTGATGAAACTTAAAGCTGCACCACTCAGTTATGTTGACATTAGCAATAGATGAAATTGCTACGTGTAATCACAAAGGTTATCACTCATGACGAACCCACAGTGAATTTCAAAAATATTTCACCCACAAAATGAGCATTTGTATAGCAAGAATTCACCATGTTACCTTGAATTTGTGAAGAAAACTTTGTTTTTCTTGCATGCCTCTCCGATGAACGAAGAATCCAAAAACCAGACCATTCTTCATAAATTGAAGTCATAGGGGTCCACATGTAACACCAGCAAAACTATATCAAAACATGCATATACAAACTCACACAACTCATGCAGTATAATCCAAGTCTCATTTATCCCAAACACATGCATTTTGGCTAAAAGCTTTGCATATAAAAGTGAACTGAAAGTGAAATGTATCTATGTTCTCTTCAAAGCCAGACTCCATTGACAAAAACAGTGATACCTCACTGAACACGGGTGCTGTGTGTCTACCACTGTCTTGACCCATTAGTTAATTTGTGTTATTGTGCGACTTTGATGTCAGTTTGGAATCACCAAAGTTACAGTAACACAAACAAACTACAGATCGAGGTATGGTAGACCAGCAGCTACTATGTTCAGCAGGGTATAATTACTGTTCTATTTCATATCAGGTCAACACGCCACCGTATGGATCACTCTCTTTGAGAATGACCCATACAGTGGCATGTTGACCTTCATTCATAGAACCACGGTTACCTTCTGTAATCATCCGTTATTGTTAATGGGGTCTGGCTTTGAAGAGAGCACAGATCAGTTTCACCCCAGTTTAGTTTTAACACCAAGGTTTTGGTAAAAATGCATATGTTTAGGAAGTACTAAGCATCCAAAACTATATCAAAACATGACTTTACAAACTCACACGACTCATGCAGTATAATCCAAGCTTTATTTATCCAGTTGTTTGCTCAGTATTTCCCAAACAGACTGCCCTTTCTGAGGGGATACTGACATGAAAGTGAAGCTTAATCCTTGTTCTATTCAAAGCATGACTCTATTGACAGAAACACTAATTTTACCATGCTGAAAACGGGACATGCTCAGTACTTCCCAAACACGTGCATTTTCACTAAAACATTACAACATAAAACACTTTTACCTACAAGAGGTGCACCCAGTAATGTGCCTGTGAGCTCCAGGCACGCTACTACTTGTATGCAAAAGTGTTGTAAATAGTAAAGTTTCAACAAAAATGCATATATTTTGGAAGTACTGAGCATACCACTGGATGAATAAGACTTATATTATACTGCATGAGTTGTGCAAGAGTCTGTAAACTGCTGTTTTGATATAGTTTTGCCGTTTTTAAATCTGGACCCCTATGACTTCATTTCATTAAGAATGTTTGTCTTTTTTGGATTCTCCGCTCATCATGGAGGCATGCAAGAAAAGCAAAGTTTTCTTCTTGAATTCAAGTTAACATGTGGTGAGTAATTGTTATACAAATGATCATTTTGCGGGTGAAGTATTCCTTTAACCCCCAACTCAGTACTTATCCTGAGCCCTGTTGAGGCTTTTCGCTTTCCAACCCTTTTAGTCTCATGTAATCTGTTTCCAGCAACCCCAGGCAACAGTTTTCAATGAAAAAGCTCTGATAAATCCACTGTACGATACCTGCTCAGCACCTTATAAAGCTCAGACAGAAAAAGTTGGTGACTGTATTTATCTTAGGAGTTGGAAAGGGTGAAACAGAGCTAAAAAGAAAAGTGAATATCGGACTTATATTCTTTATGTGTACATGAACCAGACTCCTGATGAATGTTTCTCTGTGTCGTTACGACTTTGTAAGATGCTATTATGTCAGTGTGGCATCATGTACAAAAAACAAAACAAAAAATAAAAATGTGTCCACATTTTCGCTCAGCATATACGGTTCATGTCTGGAAACTGTGAGCTGTTGAGTGTCAAAACATTATTGAGCTGGAAGGAAAGTTTTCCTGATCATCATGTCTTCAACCAGTGGAATCACCCTGTGCAGTGTTAAGATGGGAGAACAATCTGTAGATTCCTGGCCTTCAGTGACACATAGTTGCATTTCATTGTTGTTGTCATTTGCATTAGGAATGTGCGGCTTGTTCCTGTAGTTGATGATATTAAGTAGTGATGTTATTTCCTCTCTGTTTTTGCAGCTGATCTATGAGAGCTTTGCCAGGTTTCTGGTGGAGCATAAAGGCTATGACAAAGACCTGCTGAACCTAACCCCTGCTACCTGGGATTTCTGGTGAGTTGGGAACCATGGTAGTTTCCCCAGAGACTGTGTCCAGTATGCACTGCCAAGTGTGACCTTCCACAATTGTTGTTACTCATGATAAACTTCAGAAAGATTAGATGCAGCTCCCTCCATGGAGATCATCTCCAGGCATGTTTGGAGCCACAGTCCCTTGTTCAGCTGATCTGTGTCCTTCCAATTTGTTCCTATCAGTCTTTTATCTGTCATGCATCCCGTTTTTAAAATTTGATTGTTGTGTTTGGACCAGTTTCCTTCAACAGTATAATTCAAAAGGCACATTGCTGGATTGCAATGACCAGTATAGCCAATGAATTTCCCCAGGGTGTGTGTAACATTTTACCAGAAGGTTTTTAATGTAACAGAAGTTCATACCAGTTGACAAAAAAGTACCTTTATGTTGATTGCAGTGCCAACAAAGATCAGAGTCGGAAACACCCATCTTATGCCATCGAACAGGGGTGAATCCAATTTAGTTGCTTTGTGAAGTGTTTTCCAGACACAATCCCACTCTTCAGTTTCCAATGATATACCTCAGTCAGTTTTCCAGTTTATTTAAACTTCACTCCAGTTTTCTCTTGATGTTTTGTTCATCAGTTTGTATAATTTTGATGCAGTTTTATCTTTCTGTCTGACCATTAATTCTAGCTTTTGGTCAAATATGGTCTTATTTGCCTTTATTTATTTTAGAAAGACACCACAGAACCATTACTTTTATGATATAATTCTCTCGCAGCCAAATTCTAAACATTTGATCTCTTGTTTTGTCACCGCTTTTGAGACATCAGCATGTACCAATCATCTCAAGGATGCGTGGGCAGAAGAATTAGGTGTTCCACTGTCAGATGAACTATAGGAGGAAGGCCTGGCCAGTGTACAGAAATGCTCCATTAACTCTAGATATTAATTAATTAAATTTAAGGTCTTACATGGGCTACATTACTCCAAAACTAAACTAAATTTTTGAATCAGTGTCTCCCATATGTGATAGATGTGGCAGTGCCGAAGGCTCACTCTCACAACTGTTCTGGCAGTGTCCCGTGCTAAGCAATTTTTGGTGTGACATATTTAATTGGTTTTCTAAACAATATAGAAAATATTCAACCAGACTGCAATCTCACAATATTTGGCTCTTCAGACAGGACAACAGCTCTTCCTCCCCATCATAAGCAGGCTCTCAAAACAGGCATGGTTGCAGCCAAAAAATTAATACAGTTAAACTATAAACACACCCCCTTGTTTTAAAGGGTGGCTGATTCGCTTTAGTGAATTAAAGGAGCAGAATTCACAAAACTATTATCAGATGATGTGGAAGCCATTTTTGGCATTACTTGATGAGACTTAAATGTACATCTTGTGAGCCATGCCTCTATGTTGTATCATTTTTTTTCTGTGCAAACTCTGCCTTATCCTGATCTGACCGATATTTTAGTATTCCTTCTTCCATGTTTCTCTTTTTGTTTGCTTGGTTGTTTTGTTTTTGTTATTTGTTTCTCGCACCCCTGACAATATTGCAGAGTGGAATTTCTCAGACTGTATTTGGTTGCTCCATGTATCCTCTGTCCTTTTTTTGTTTTTTTCGTGCAACAGTGTCAGGTGCTGAGTGTCCATTGTGTATGTATTCTTTGTATTGCGAAAGGGTTAAAATAAAATAACAAACAAACAAACAAACTGATGATTGTTCAGTAGTGGAGCACTGGGAGAGTTATTGACTTTAATCAAAGGGTTATCGATATTGTTACATGGGAGACCATACATAGCCCTTGCAATGAGACCTTTTCTTTTAACATGTCTAAAACATCCTGTTCTATCTATCTAAAATCAATATGCAATATAATACATAATACGCCCATAGTACATGCATTCGGAAGGCATCTTGTTCATCAGAGAAGCTACTCTCTATCGAATCATGAGGTGCCTGGGGAGTCCTGCCCCTATGACAGAGGGATCTATGATATATTACATATGGTAAAAAGGCTTCTGAAGCAGTTATGTTTTATGTGAAAGAAGGTTATTTTATAGGTTGTTTCATAAATTTGTATGATTGAATTTTTGCTAATTCAAAGGTAGTGTAATGAAAGACTGAACGACTTTAAAACTGTTTAGTTATCTTTTATAATGAGGATATTTGTTTTGTTTGTTTCTCTAGCACATTTCATTTTCATTTCATTTTCATATTTACCAAACCATTCAGGGAGCCCAGGTTCACAGAAGCATCTGTTTTTCCATTCTTTTATTCAGGATTTTCTTTTACTTTGTCCTTCGTGTGAACCTTACAGTCAAGTGGTTCTCAACCTTTTTGGCTTGTGAACCTTTGAAATGAAACAACGTCTGCTCGTGACCCTCACCACAGGTTGTGGTCTGTGTGAGGACATGAGTTGTGACAAGTTTAATCAAGGAATCATTTTTGCTTCTTGGACTGTGACATCCAAAGTGTAAAGGCAAATAGGTGAAGCTATCTAGTATTTTCAACAAAAGAAACATGATTTAGTGTCACTAGACAACCAACGGGATCCTTTGTACCCTGTTAAAATGTGGCAGTAGTGACTTCTGGAACATCTTCTGGAATGGCAGGAACAGAGTTGTCCATGCTGAGTACAGGACAGCAGTGATGGTCTGGATTCCTGTCTTTACACTGTATTTCTAACATGCTGAATTTTGTGACCAGTTTTAAAGGACTCGTGGTGGATCTGGAGGATGGAAACCTTGTGAAGCTGGCTGAAGATGGAACTGTCTTGCGGTATGTTCTTGCTGCATAAATGTATTTGATGTGCTTCCCTAAACATGTCTTAAATTCCTTTGTCAATGTATTCATTGCTTTCACTGACCTTAAAAGAGAGATATTAGAAAAGTTTTATTCCTTGCTTGATCAGAGCGACACATGGAACCAACAACCTCAGCACAGAAGACATCATCAAACATTATGGTCCTAAAAGGGAGTGGAAGCACTTCAACAGTCTCAATACATCCTTCACAAGATCTGGTATGTTTACATCTATCCTGGCTGTATGCTGCTGGCTCTGATGTAGACTAATGTGCAGTATCTGGGATTCTTTCACCTCACCTGTCACTAGATTTCATTGACTTTTGTTTTGGTCTTTGCAGCAAAATACTATTTCTATGACAACTACTTTGATCTACCTGGGGCTCTCCTCTGTGGAAGAGTTGTGGACATGTTGCATAAGGTAATATTTGATTGGTTTTCAAATTAATGGTGAGATTTTCATTTAGATAAAAAACATAAACTAAATTGTAACTTCATCTTTTTGTGAAGAGAGGAAATGAGGTGAACTCTGACTTTTGGAAAGACATGGTTGCTGCCATCGACCACAATTACAACACATCTGCGTTCAAAGGTAGGCCTTTAATTCCAAAGAAGCACACATTTAAGTTTAATGCTTATTTCTAACGTCTTCTTGTTAAGGACCCATGCTGTAAATACACTAAGAACAACACGTACACACACAGTACACAGGATATTTTTCTTTTTCAAACTAGAACTTTTATTCTGTATTTTGGTCAGATAGTGGTAGATAACTTAACACATCCAATGGGACATAGTTATTTTGAAAAAAACAAATGCAGTTTGAATTTCTCATTCTGTGTTGTTTTGCTGATCACAGTGCTTGTGAGAATGTGCTGATCTCTAATAACATATAGTACAACAGTTTTACGTGTCTTTTGTATATTACAGGAAAATTCTTAAACAACAGACATTAAAAAAACAAACACAAATAAAAGACGTGCTGTAAATGTTACAGGCAGTTGTAAAGCACCACTTAAGATATCTTCCAATATTGTTTCATGTTTCTTATAATTGCAAAGGCACACACATGGTGAACTGGGCAAAGGAATCAATTTGAACCATAGATTTTAAATTTTCACTCAGAACTAATACCTTTGTCAGTCAAGTCATTTGTCAGCAAATTAAAGACTTTTATTTGTGTAGATTTGAATGAGGCAGTTGAACTTGTTAAAATTACAACCATGTATATTGTAATCTACAATCTCAATTTGGAATTTTATAAACTGATCTATTTCTCTGAGTAGTTCAATGTTTGTAAGATTTTGAGGTTTATTTGGATTTGTGAAATCACGTTGCGACAATCAAGAACCCAGAGAAAGCACAGTGAACATTATCTGCTGCAAATATGCCATTACTGTCCTCATCAGGGACCTGGACAAAGACTCTGTCACCGGCATGTAGCATAAGCACAGTACTGCCTGACATCTGATCCAGGAAGCCCTTGTTGTACTCATCATAGGTGAAAATAACTGGCTCCTCATTTTTGTAGAGGGCCACCAATGCATTGGCGCCATTGACATGCATATGATAGCTGAAGTAGTAGAGGCCTGGGATCTGGCAGGTAAACACACCACTGTGCTCGTCATAATGGCCCTCACCGTTGTACAGAACCTGGTCGAACTGAACAGGGGTTGCAGCTGGGGGGTAGGCTCGGGTCAGCACAGCACTGAAGGCGGACATGGGGGCCTTTATCATCTCATGAGACATCACAAGCTCATGGGACTTGATTGGCATGCTCTTCTCGTGGTGGTAGACAATCTCTCCTGGTGGGCCAGGTAGACCAGGAGGACCGGCAGGGCCTGGCTGACCATCTTGACCTCTGGGACCTGGAATTCCAGGTGGACCATGAGGACCAGAAACTCCCTTAGCTGTCAAGCCAGCTGGGCCAGGTGGGCCTGGAAGACCTGGGTGGCCCTTAAGTCCAGGGGGACCTGATGGACCAGGGGGACCAACTGGTCCCATGGGTCCTGGCCTTCCGTTCTCACCACTTTTCCCTGGTCCTCCTGCAGGGCCTGTGTGCCCTTTGGGTCCTGGGGCGCCATTTACACCTGGGAGTCCTGGGGCACCAGCATGGCCTTGACTACCCTTTTGACCCTGAGGACCATTATGGCCTGGAATTCCTGGAGGACCTACTGCACCAGGGCTACCTGGTTTTCCAGTGAGACCATGAGCTCCCTGTTCACCCTTGGCTCCCCTTGGGCCAGGTGCACCTACCATACCAATGTCACCTTTGGGTCCTGCAGGGCCTCCCTCACCCTGGAATCCTCTTGCACCTTGTGGACCAGCTGGGCCAATAGGACCAGGAGCACCTGGCTGACCAGTATAACCAGTTGGGCCTGGCTCTCCTTTCTGACCAGTGGTTCCTGGAGTACCGGGGGCTCCTCTGCTACCTGGTATTCCAGGTTCACCTGTTTTGCCAACACCTGGCATGCCAGGGGAGCCTGGCTGACCTGCTGGACCCTGTGGACCTTTAGCACCCATAGGCCCAGGCATACCTGGGGTACCATTCTGGCCTGGTTTCCCTGCTGCTCCTACACCTGGAGCCCCAGTGTGACCCTTTGGTCCTTGTGGACCCATTGGCCCTGGAGCGCCATCTCTTCCTGGTGAGCCACCCTTGCCAGGTTCTCCAGGATAGCCAGTAGCACCAGGTATACCAGTTCCAGGTTTTCCAGGCATTCCAGATGGGCCCATTGGTCCAACTGCACCTGGTGGTCCTTGAACTCCAGGAACTCCAACACCTCTCTCTCCTTTAATGCCGGGAAGGCCAGGAATACCAGGGTGTCCCTTCAAACCTGGCTCTCCTCTTGGTCCCATTGCCCCAGGGATGCCAGCTGGTCCAGGTTTTCCGACAGCAGAAAGTCCAGCAGGTCCAGGTGTTCCAGGAGTACCAGGTGCACCTCTGGGACCCATTGCTCCAGTTGCGCCAGGTGCACCTCTCTCACCAGGGGCGCCAGGGGTACCTGGTTTTCCAGGGCCACCTGGGCTACCGGGTTTACCTGCTTGAGAGTAGCCAGGGGGTCCAGGAGGTCCTGGTGGGCCTTTTTGTCCAGGATGTCCGGTACCACTCTTTCCAGGAGGTCCCATTGGTCCCATTGGTCCTGGCTCACCTGGAGGACCTGGAGGACCTGGTTGGGCTGCAGGGGCTGGGGAATACATAAATACAGATACATGTGATGTAATTGTTAATATGACCCACACATAGTTAAGTCTCAGTTATCTTTTCTAGATCAATTTGGTTCAATATGTTATAACTGGATTTTGTGACCTGTGAGTCCTGTTAGTACTAAATCATGTTCTTTGATATAAAACCTGTACTTAACAGCATTCTATATGATGTAGGTGAAAATATAAAGTACACATAGAAGCATACAATGGTTGATACAGGCATTAAAAGCGTCCTCAGTTTTCCCGTAGAAGTTGAAACACTGAAAACAGAGTAAATATGATCAAGAAAATGGCTTCATTTTAAAGCATCTTCTGCCTTTTCGATGCATTACGTAAGATGTCCTCTTGGTCGTTGAATAACCCCAGGTTTGGCATACTACCCCATAACACCGCAACCTGACTCAAAACACTCCTCCCTATGATTGTAGGGTGGGTTGTGGGGACAGCACTCCTTTTTCCCAGGATAGTCTTCAGAGCAACACTGGTCTGAGGTGATGTTCTCACCATGTGTCTGCTGGCGTGGGACCTAACACACCAGCTCCGGTGCATTTCAGTTTAATTTGCCCACACTATACTGCACCCCTTAATTTCCTGCACTGCCCATGGCCCTGAATGTATGGTTAGTGGCCTGCAGCTTGTCGACATCACCCTGATGCATTTCCTGCCACAAAGTGTAGAGTTTTTGGGCAAGGTCATGTGAGTGCTTATATATGCACTACATTGGAGTATAATGTCAGTGTGTTGTTTTGCTGACAGTCATTGCTCGGTAATTTATGTTCCTCGACAAAATAAGAAAAACCCTACAAAACCAGCGTGTGGCAGCGGAGACACTGTTTTTTCCTTCTCGCTTTTTAATTATGATTTTATTTGACAGTAGTAAGAGATGACATGAAAAGAGAAGACAGAGAGATTGCGTATGACATGTGACAGAGTTCCTTGGCGGGACTCCAGGGAGGTCCTTGTGCCTTAACTCCTTGGCCAACAGGTCAACCAGTTGTTTGTCAGGAAGACTTTATTTGTGAGGAATGAATAACAAAAAGAATCACGAATGTAGCCTTTTAATGTACTGCACTGGTCAGCTTAAAGCTAAAAGTTAAAGTTACAATGGAAATCTTGTGTATATATCTGTATATGTATATCGATATATCTATGTATATATATCTATATCTTTTTTGTCTATATCTATATATATTGTGCTTTCTCTATCTATCTATCTATCTATCTATCTATCTATCTAAACAGGGCAGAAATGTACAAAGAGTCCAGGAACTATCCACAAAGAGCATCTCTGCATCTCTTACACTATAGCTATCACACTGCATTCCTATATACGCCATAACTCAGGATGTGTCCTTGCCTGTCAGAGATTCAAATCCAATAGTGTTGGCCTCTCTTTTGAAATGGTGTTTTCAGAAGCGCACGCTTTGACAGGGCTGTCATTTTCAAAGCCACATGAGTCCGAGCCTGAAACCTCACAGAGCATATTTGTGCCAGAAGTGGACTTTTTGGCAGCCAGAAACACCACAGACTGGAGGTGATGATACTGACCACAGCAGCTGAACCACGTATGACCTGTTAACACTGCAAAGTACAAATATTCAGTGCAGCACCTGCGTCCAGTATTAATTTAGTTGCCTTCAATAAACGTCCCCTCAGTCAGAATCTTTATTCTGTCATCCTTTTCTTACTCGTCCTTCACGCTGAAAAAAAATGGCTTTGTTATGTCAGCTACAGAGTAAATTTGCCATGGTTTGTTTGGTAGATTTACTGTTTGAACTTGGGAGAGCGTTTCTCCACACTCTCTTTTTCAGCAACTGATTATGTGGTGTGAATTTAATACCACAGAGCAGTTTGTTAGGGTGTGCCTGCAACGTGGTAACAACATCTGTTTTGGAGATTTGTCAAATTTATGCTCTCATTGTCAACTTTCTGTTCTATTTTTATGTCAAGGGGCACAGTCAGACCACATCAAAACCTCCTCAAAAACAAGACTGGAGAAATAAATTCTCAACTGTCCAGCGCAGCTTTTGAATCATTGTTTAGTTGGGGTATAAAATATAGTATTACACATCATCCTGGCAGTTACATCATGACCACTGCTTTGATTTTTTTTTTATGACACATGCAAAAAGCAACTGTTTACTTCTTTAACCGTTATTTATCCAGCATATAAGTGCTCTTTTACAGCTATACCCCACCTCACAGTTATATACAGTCATACACATTCACAGCAGCTCAGCCAGGTCAACCACAGCCATCTGCTCTCGGCCAATGAGATGTTGTGTTGGACCTGCTGGGTGTGCACCTTGATGATAGTTAATGAGTAGGGGTGGCGTTGTGGCAGGAGCATTTACTGATGTGTATGAGCTAAGTTTGCCAGGCTGC